ATTTCTCACTTTGCATTACCGCCATGATTATTTCCTGTGTGTATATTTTTCATTACCGCAATAACAACAAGTACCCTTACCTACTCGAGTGAATACAGTACGTAAGTAATATTTTTCCTTAACTTGAGTAATCGATTTCCCTTTATTTATTGGCATGTTTCGTTGTGAAGAAAAACGATTGAGTACGCTCTGTACGTGTGGATATTAAGAAGCATTTAATTAAAAATATCTCACGGCGAGGAAATGACTCCATAGAGTGCCTTGTCGTTCAAGGCAAAGTAGAAGGCATCAGACCGCTTGGAAGGTTGCCCATGCAATGGACCGACCAATTCAAGTCCGAAGTTGGCGGTTGTTTATAACAACAATGATACAGAATGACCACCACGGCCGCTCTGACAAGAGTGATTATACAAATAAGAACAATTAAAAATAACGATGTTTGCAAGCACGAAAATAAAATATTTTTTAAAAACACACTCCGTTATTGAAATTTTAAAAATAAAATATTTGGACGTATGTACATACATTTAATGTAATGTATGCAAACACAAAATAAGTACTCTATAATATGATCGCGCGATCATTAACAATGAATGCGTCATGCGTGTGGAGATAGATAGTCTTGCACAATAAATTGACATTACTCTGATACTGACATTAAAATGTACTTCGAAATACTTAATCTAAATTTTATAACTGTTTTTAATCCGTAACTCGTTTCGTATGGACGATATAATAGGGATGTAGGTGCGTCTTGGAGGACAAGGGAGTATCAATTTTGCAAGAACTCAAAAATCTCCTCGCGGCTGTCATCCGAGTGTCTTCGCAGAGTCCTTGAATACTTCGGTCACATTGCACGGAAGGGTGGTAGCAATCTCGAGAGGCTTATCGTGACTGGTAAAATAGATGGGAAAAGGCCTCGGGTGTGCAGCCCAATACGTTGGTCCAACCAGATCCGCACGGCCCTTAAATCCACATTTCACAACGCCCTCCACACCGTCAGAGACAAGAGTAGATGAAGAAAGATCGTGCGTGCGGCGAAGGTGATACAAAAGGGTGGTCACGACCCTCAGCAGTGAGGAATACGACGCACGGACCAAGGAATATTTTTATTTAATAATGTTATTCTGTTAGCCTTCTAAGGGTCGATTCGACCAAACAAGAGTAAATCTTATTCTTAGAATAACTCGTCAGTTAATCGAGACTAAATCAATTTTACGTTTTACCATCTACAATTCTAAGAATAGTGGGCCTATTCGGGAATTGTTACTATACCGCCGTTGCGCACGGAATAACGGAGCTATTCCTAGAATAAAGTAATGGCGTCAGTCAGTCCAACATCTGATTTCTTGACACTTGAAACTTGACAATTCCCTCAAACAAACAACAAATAAAAATAATACGTTTGACAGCTGGATATCTTTCACAACAGCTACTTTTTCACACTAAAATACGGCAAAATCGAGTTGACGATTTGTATGCTCTTACACTATGCCGTTGAACAACAACATTTATTTGCCGGATTTTTTTTTTTGTTCACCATTCACTCTGCTATTCGCGTATTGTTATTCCTAGCGCAAGTATACGTGGAAAAACGACTATGGATTTACTCGAGATTAAAATCATGGAATAGGTTATTCCTCGTATAGTTACTCGAGTATAAATTTAAGTTTGGTCGAATCCACCCTTAGAGTTGTAATCAAAATTATGCAGTGTATAAGTTAAAGTCTTATTGATAATAAGCTAAAATTGATTTATAGCACTAGGCAGCCGCCTGGCTCTTGCCATTTTGGTGGTCCGCGCCGTATGTTCAGCTGCCTATAATTGCAATAATAAAAAATGTTAGGATTATTGGTCCAAATAAACCGTTAGATTATTCTCAAAACGATGGACCGAAATAAATCTATATATTTAAAAATTAATTGCTGTTCTGATTTGGCTAATTTTGGTCTTGAATTATTTTTGGAAGTCCAGAGAAGGTTTAAAAGGTGAATAAATATGAAAATGCTCGGAATTATATAAAAACAAACAATTTTGTTTTTCCTTTGATGTGTTCCCCGTCGAACGGATTCCTTTTGTTTGTTTTAAGTTTATTTTATACAAAAGTTTAAGTTTTTTATTTATATCGATTAAGGCACTACGAAGTCTGCCGGGTCAGCTAGTTTTAAATAAAACGTGGTCTAGCTTCATTGCGCCCTCCAAAGCGATGTGTTACACTCGCGACGTGTTAAAAAAGGGTAATTAGCCGCTACATGCACGACCTCGTTCGTTGATTGGCGTTGTACGAGGTCAGTTACCACGTGCTCTGACTGGCATCACCACGCAGAACTCGCCTTTGATAGTTTTTTTTTCTTTTACAGAAAATGAGTCTAGTTGCGTTCGATTGTAGAATTTGGAATCTACTTCTTTTTTTTATTGCCCTTATTGGAAGACGAGCGTACGACCCACCTGATGGTGAGTGGTTACCGTCGCCCATGGACTTCAACAAACTTAAATTTTCATTGAGAATACGTGACATTAAATCGGTGAAATTGATTTTGATGGGGGAACCGCTGGTGGCCCGGAGGTCTTCCAGCTGTTCTGAGATGCGTGAGGGAAAAAGCTCGGCCGAGCGCTTAATTGGTATACCTGGAATGCTCAAGAAGACAGTCCTAGAGAAACATTTTTATAACTGGTGGTAGGACCTCTTGTGAGTTCGCACGGGTAGGTACTACCACCTTGCCTATTTCTGCCGTGAAGCAGTAACACGTTTCTGTTTGAAGGAAGGGGCAGCCGTTGTAACTATACTGAGATTAGACCTTACAACTCATATCTAAAGGTGTGTGGCGGCATTTACGTTGTGGATGTCTATGGGTTCCAGTAACCACTTAACACCAATTGGGCTGTGAACTCGTCCACCTATCTAAGCTATAAAAAAAAAACAGGCATAGCCAAAATTAGATTAAATTTTCAAATTGCTTATTAAGAGAGCAAAGCTAAGGGAGTAAGTTTATAACAGCGCCATATGTTACTTTTAAGTTATTCGACAAAACTCTTTGTTAAGCTCCATATTTATAAAACCTTGCGTGTAAGCCTCCATAGCTCAGGGGTTAGAGCACTGGTCTTGTAAACCAGGGGTCGAGAGTTCAAATCTCTCTGGGGGCAGTTAATATAGAGGAATCTTTTTTTATATTTAATTCGATCTACCTTAAGGAATGTAACCGATTTAGTTTTAGCAAAAATCGCTTTTATATATATTTATGGCTTTCTTCCTCTAGAATATCCATCTACATTAGAACGTTTACATTAACTGTTTAAATAAATATGATGGCATAATTATTTAATTTTGTAAATAGCCCTAATAATGACAATAAAAATTTCTAGTTTAAAAGTTAAGATTACGAATATCCGCCTTTATATTTTGCATATACAATGTGTCCGTGCACCAGTGTTGGAGATTTAATGGGTGTAAAATATGGGGATTTTTATCGACAAATCACTATCCCAATTTTCTATACTAGAATGGCAGCCATTTTGTTTTTTTTACTTCGCAGTTCTGACGCCGGCACTGATTTAATCTTTACTATCGATGTAGAACGTCTTAGGAAGACGACAGAGGTTTCATTTGAAAGCTAAAATTGTAGGCAATCAGTTTATGATACATTTTATTCAATATCTTTTTCACAAAATAACAAATAGGTACTTATTAATAAAATTAAAATTTATTGCATTTTTTTTGTTTTTTATTTTTTTCATGAAAACTAACCCTGTCAAGCTACTTTTTTTAAATAGTTTTTCTCATAATAAAGGATATTTTCATTAAAATAATCTTTACATCAAAGCCATAAGTAAGATAGTTCAAAAGTTGTCATGGTTTAAATATAACCCTAAAAACTTAAATAAATAACACGTGTCAAACAATAGACTCCAGACCCCATATTTCAGGTACAATTCCATGCGTGTCTTCAGACAGTTGTTACAGTGATACCCAGTAGCTTAAAGCACAACTTCTCGGTGAATGTATGGTTTGGCATGATAGACGATATCTTAATTGGGCCTCTTATTTTGCCCGCTACATTGAATGACCCAAGATTTTTGGAATTCCTGCAAAGTGGATATCAAGACGCATTAAATGAATTACCATTGACCTACAGGACAAGAATGGTACTCCAGTTAGCAATCGTCCCACCTCGTCCAATCCATGTCGGATAGGTGTCATTTAAATAATTTCTTACATTGACCGCAAAATGTGCTGGAACTCCCATCCAATTGTCACGGACGATCTATGAAAGTAATTTTCAATTGGCTTTTTGTTACTTACCACCACCCCGCCTATTTCTGCCGTGAAGCAGTAATGCGTTTCGGTTTGAAGGGTGGGTCAGCCGTTGTAACTATACTTGAGACCTTGGAACTTGTATTGGCGCATTTGCGTCGTAGATGTCTAGGGGCTCCAGTAACAACTTAACACCGGGTGGGCTGTGAGCTCGTCCACTCATCTAAGCAATAAAAAACTTAAAAAAAACCCACATAATATGTAATTACGTTACTTGGACGCGTAGTTCTAGATAATTTCGATTGGTCTAATGGCTAGTGACGTCACGATCTAAGTAAGTTTCTCAGCTGTCACTCTTTGACTTAGTCTTTGTTAAAGAAATATAGTATTCGGAGTATGTATATCATATGTACCTACTTTAAGTTCTTTGTTTGGTTCAGTCTTATGGAAGACAATACAAAGTCGTAACTTTTGGAATGCTAATTATTATTATTATTATTACAATAAAATTTTGAATTAACACCAAATAAATTTTGAACTTACTTGTAGCGGTTATGATTTTTGTTTTTTACACTGGGCAATAAAAAAAAATCTGGGCCTATGGGCAATCTACCAACAAAAGCATTCCCAATGAGGGTTGACGTCTGCCAAAACTTTCACAGCTATGAATACGAGGGGGGCATATGATGAGAACGATAGGGCTGTGATAACGATATTAAAGTAATGTTGGTGTTGTTTTTGTTTCCAGCTGACTGGGCAACGGAATGCGTGTCTCGCGCCGAGATCCTGCGACTGATCTACCAGGGTCGCTTCCTGCACAGCTCGGTGACTCTGGGCGCTCTCGGCCTGCCCCTAGGGCGCACCACGGTCATGCACCTAGTGCCGCGCGAACACCTCCCGGAGCCTAACTCTCACGGTCAGTAATTACGTGCCTTAACCACATTTGAATAGGAGGTCATATTTAAATGAAAGCAGCTGTGATTAGGGTAATTACTACTGGTGGTAGGAGCCCTTGTGAGTCCGCACGAGTAGGCAATGCGTTTCGGTCTGAAGGGTGAGGTAGCCGTTGTAACTATACTGAGACCTTAGAACTTATATCTCAAGTTGGGTGGCGCATTTACGTTATAGATGTATATGGGCTCCAGTGACCACTTAACATCAGGTGGGCTGTAAACTCGTCCAACCATCTAAGCAATTTTTTTTTTGTTTTTGTTTATACCGGTCACGCAGGCTGCGACTATCGGATTATTTAATGAAAAACATTGATTTGTTGAGAGTATTACTCGCGCGCCATCTACCGTACCTTGATGGTACTAGGACAGAAACTTTATCCGAAATGTCACTATCAAATTTCATCGCAAACGGATCAGTAGTTTATGAATTCAAAGAGGATAACAAATACAAACATTTATTTCGATATTGGAATATAAGAATAAGTTCAAACTTGTAATTCTAAAATTTCATATAATAATCAAATTATTTTTACTAATGCCTTCCTTTAGATGACGGCCATTGTTTTCGCAGTTAAAATAATAATAATAACATATTTTTCATTACGGACACATATTTTTTTTTTAAATCTTAAACACTAAAGCATATTTTGTTGACAGAAGTACGATGGAATTAAAATCGAATGCGATCCTTGTCCTATGCTCATATACCCTTAGCCTGCCTTCCTCCTTTCCCGTCAAAATTGTAAGTGAATTTTAAACAAAAAAAAAAAAAGGAACCTAAAAACAAGTGGGTAGTTCACGATTCGGTAGTACCGGATGGAACGGGACCGCTTCCGAAGTCGGATCAACGTTGACCTGTTATTATTGACCTATGTATTATATAAAACATTATATCAGCTGTCTTAACCGTCGGAAGCGGTTTTGTTACAACCGATCGAATATTTATAGTACGTAAAAGATAATCCTCTATATCATCTGGTGGTAGGACCTCTTGTGAGTCCGCACAGGTAGGTATCACTATCCCGCCTATTTCTGCCGTCAAACAGTAATGCGTTTCGGCTTGAAGAGTGGGACAGCCGTTGTAACTATACTGAGACCTTAGAACTCATATCTCAAGGTGGGTGGCGCATTTACGTTGTAGATGTCTATGGGTTTCGGTTACCACTAAACATCAGGTGGGCTGTGAGCTCGTCCGTCCATCTAAGTAATTAAAAAAAAATGCATTATTATTTGATGAGTTTTGAAGGTAGATTGAAATAACCGAATGTGATATGCAAATCGGGTAGCGCTCATTCTGAGATCTGTTTTATTATGCCATCACAGACGAGTTCTCGGCGAGTTAACCGTCTTCGACCCTTACTCGATGAGTGATACTAAAAGATCAGAACAATAGTAATAAGCGGTTGATGAAACGGCTCCGACTCGGGAAGTTAATTTAAACTCTTAGAAATTATAGCCCTCTATAGCAGGGGTGGCCAACTTGATTAGAACCAAGATCTACTGTTTACTGATGTAGCACTTTACAATCTACTAATGACATTTCTTGAAATTTAGTGAAACATGTAGTTCAGTATACACAAATTAGTACATAGTATATTTATTTATTGAAAAGACTAGCGACCCGCCCTCGCTTCGCTTCGGAAATATTAAATTTAATTATTGATAGCTGAGTCCCGCGATGTTACCCGCGGTTATTGTCGTACCGCGGGTGAAGCCACGGGGCGAAGCTAGTCTAAAAAAAGTAACCTAAGTTGCTCCTTATATCATTAGCTACCTATCGGTGAAAGTCCCGTTAAAATCGGTTCAGCCGTTCCAGAGATTAGCCGGAACAAACAGACAGACAGACAGACAGACAGACAAATATTATAAAAAAATATATTTTGGTTTATGTACCGTATATATATTCATATGCATGTAGTAAAAAGAGGCTATTTCAATATTACAAACGGACACTCCAATTTTATTTATATGTATAGATTAACATAAAACTGAAATAATGTTTTATTTATTAAATCAAAATGCAAGGTAGTTTAATAACCTAAAAGTACATATTATCATCCGCAACACGCTTCGTCAGAAGATTATAGAAACAGAGTTATCAGCAACGTGCTTCGTCAAAAAGTACAATACTTACTTTCAGCTACAAGCGTCGTCAGCTAAAATTATATATTAAAACAGAACTATTGAGAAAGAGAGAATAAATAATGTAACGTAATGTAAATGATAGAAGATGAAGATGATGCCTGCAGCAATTGGTGATTACGTTCCGCAGTCTGTGTGCTTAGTACGAGTTTTTTTAACGTTCTCGAGAGCGTAAAAGTTAGCTCCTATTTAAGTATGGAATGGGATCGTTTGCGTACGTTTGCCGCTAGTGGCGCTGTTCCAACTGCATACAAAATTGGGTTAACTTTTACGCTCTCGAGAACGTTAAAAAACTCGCACTAAGCACACTGTTCTATGTATTTATATTTTTTAGTCTTGCCACGATCGACTGAACTAATAGCCACGATCGACCGGTCGATCGCGATCTACCGGTTGACCACCCCTGCTATATACAAGTAGATACGTCGTGGGCACACTTTGAAGTGCTAATTGACCATCTGATACTCTAGTAGCAATGTGTCAAGATTGTATCTAGAAGCCACGGTTAAATATTTTGATTTTTTGTTCAATTTCAGATCAACGACAGAAAAGTAAAGGTGGTTCAAGCAGTTGTTGTTCGGCGTCGTGTTGCATATTGTAATGGACGATTGTAAAAGCGAAAAGGCAATACGTGTGCAGCGATCGGTGCGAGCGAGACGGCGACAGGGCCACACCAAGGACTCATGTGTTCAGTGATATAGACGCCAGCATCCAATGACCCCTAAGCCCTCATTCGCACGGGCGTTTTAAAAACGTCGCGTTAAAACTCGGCGTTGGCGCTTTTATAACGTTCTCGATGCGACGTAATCTGTAACGCCCAACGCTTAGCGCTCAAAATGCAACACTGCGCGATAAAAAAGCGTTGCGTGTTAAAAGCGCTATCGTAGGAACATATACTAAGAAATGCATCTGTTCTATTTGAACGCTTTTTTAACGCGCGCTAAAAAAACTCTCGTGCGAATGAGGCCTTAATGTATTAAATCTGGGCACGAAATTAAATCGATACATTGAAAAACAATATTCGCACATACGGTGCTATAAAGTCGTCACTTATGCAATTTTTGTTAATACTGAAATGAGTATGAGAAAATACATTTTTAATAGTTTTCATTAGTGACAACGAGAGAGATGTTTGCTTTTACTGATGAAGTTTCTAGTTTAAATATTATCATTTTATTTCTATAGCCTAGCAGAACTATATCGGATTTATATAATAAAATTGAATTTTCCAACGTTTCTCCTGAAAAATTACATAATTTGTATAAGTGACGTTATCGCACCGTGTGATTATTTTAAAAAAACCACGTAGTTTTACAATTCGATAATTAATTTCGGCACAAAATCGACCAAACGAACGCACATCACTAGACGGAAGCTCCAACGACCATCTAGCTAGGCTGTATCGTTGGTGTTTATTGGTGGGGAATCGCTACTAGCGCCGCGGCTCGTTTAGGGATCGAAACTATTTTTAATCATATTAAAAATTATTTAGTAGTTATTCGATGTACGTATTCGACACGCAAGTTAAAACGCATAGATTTTTCCGGATGGTTCCTACATTAACAAACAAAAAAACGTTACTATCTAACTTTGAGTAGGTACCCGGCTGCTGATGTCGTTCATAATTAATTCATTAGTATTATAATTATTTAGATCGTCTTAAATGAATTTATAAGAAAGTTACAACGCAGATAATTTATAGATAAATAATAATGAAATGACAAATTATTTAATTGAGAAAGCAATATGAAGCGTGTACATTTTCATTTTCTTAACTGCATTGTAAATAATTGAATAGTTTTTAATAATAATTATATTATTGTGAGTACGTTTTTCGGGACTTTGTGATAGGCTCATGCAATATGTTCGATTTGTTTTATATATGTAATATATATATATAAAAAATATGTATTGTAATTATCCCGCGTACTACTCTAGTTGTTGGCTCACGGTTCGTTGTCCGTACACGGTGTTTACTCGGAGGAAACATGTTTGTGGTTACACGGCGACCGCTTCACAACTCGAACTAATCGAAATAATAATTATAATAAAGTATACATCCGGCACTAGATACAGTTAATGTTGCTATTAAGTAAATACATTGATGTATTAGAGAATTCGAGAACATTCGAGCTACGAAGAAAATTGTGTGTGAAAATGTATTGTTCTCGTGCTGTTCACGACCGTTACCAGAGATTTAAAATAAAATAAAAAAACACGCGCTAATGTAAATACGAAAGCTTTTTATATATTAATTAAATATTACACATCACACGTTATAATGTAGAATATAAAATTTTACTATTTTTAATTTCGCATTTTAATAATACTATTATTATGTTCTTATGTATTATTCTTTTTTAAACATGTTTTTCATCTAGATTTGAAATTGTTTGGCTTAGCCTCAATATTATTTTGTTTTAAGCCCATTAATTTGAATTTCTTGGTGAATTTATATTTGTTTTCCTTTTTTTTTATAATCTTTCCGACGCAATCTTAACTTTGAAAATACGTATTTATAAAAAGTACAAATGAAATTATTTTACAAAAAGAAAACATGAATTCATCTCGATGCTTAAACTAATCGAGCAATATTCTGATTTCTCTAAAAAAAAGGGTACATTATTTGCATGATGTTTTAACCCATTAATACAATTTATCTTATAAATAATAATAAAATCATTAAACAGCCATATAACCGACTGAAGAAGATCTTGCCATTCAAAATTAAAAATCTAAAGTTGAATCTAAAAGAGTGAATGCAATTAAATTATTATTTTTATTACGAATTCGTTTACTGGTGTACTTTTGATCCGTATGAATGACATTAAAATTTGGTTGCACTGTTCAGTTGCTGTATGTATGTATTTGTTAAGTTGTGTTAATTATATTTTAGTTTACAAATAAATACGATTTAAATTTTGTTTTGACTTTTATTTTCCTTTTTTTATAGATGGCGCTGTTATCAATTCTGCACGTTGAAGCTTGTTTTTCGCTTTTGTTTGTCTTGCTGAATAAAATTGGCTTTTATAAATATATTTCAAGTGTCTAGTCGAGTGTAGTAGACGAATATATTAATAGGTTAAGGCGATATCGTAAGGTCTTCGCGGTAATGTTAAGTGTAATAACAAAAAAAAAAACTCGTAAAGTTTATAGATAATAAATGTACAGTTTATTGGCAATTAATTCGATTTATGTTATCTATAGTAGTTTTCGGAAACGTCATTATTGAACCAAGATGTTTTACAATAAATTAGTGACAGGCCAATTTTTATCTTTAGAATATGATTTGTGACTACACTAGTAACCGTAGAAATTAAATATTGAATATAAAAAAAGGCTTATAATGGAAAAAATAACTATAATACGTGCACTTTTTTTTTTTAAATCGGCATAAATAAGAAAGTCATTTTTTACGATGATTTACTAGGAAATCATGTTTATGTATTACAATTAACGTATGGTTGACCTGTATTAAATTGGTTTATTGAATTGAAATCCAAACGGACCTGTACTTACATTAGAAATCATTTTACATGTGGTAACATTCAATTAGAGGTGGCGTTCGAAAGCAAATATTTTATTTACACTTAACACATAGTTTGTTTGTATTCTCTTTGTCAAAAGTAGTGGATATCGGTCAGTAAATAAATATCATATTACAATCATAAATCTGTGTTCGAAAGTAAAAATAAGAAGGAATCTTCTTCAAAGTCAATGTGACGTCGTTTTGTTAGCTAAATTGATTACACTTTTTGTTTCTAATTCTATCAACGGCTCTCACATTTCAATGTGATGCATAAAAATGGTCAAAAAATTAAAAGCTCTAATTACAAACTCATTACATTTATGTAAATGTAGTCAAAATTTAATTATTTTGAGACGATATTACCGAGATGCGGTTGTAATTATCGAAACGATTTCGTTTATATGATTTTGTCAATGTCACTTTTGATAAACGTCAAGGTTGACGGTATCCCTCCATTGTTGGCGGTTAAAGCGCTTTATAAAGCGTAAACACTAAACATTTTATTGTAATGTTTTCGAAATGGACTCCTGACACAATAGGAATAAATATTATAGAACCCAAAGTAACTTTAAACTTCGGGTTGGGCTGCCTTCGCTAGACGGGCTTCCGTAATATGGCGTTACTAAAATAATGATTGTTTATGCTTAGCCCATTGATTAATGTTTTTTTTTTCGCCTAGATGTCTATTCGTGTTTCGATTTCGGGTACGTACATTCGGAATTTTAAGAAAATTCGATTCTTTAACCGGCTTCAAAACGATGAGACTATTTCTTACTCGGGTCGTGTGGTTACTGTCTGAATTTCGCTGCGAAATCGACATGATTTGATCCAAGTCCCCGATAGGCACGGTGATGATAATGTTTCCGCGCTTGTTCTGAATGTTTTCTATTACATGTAGTAAACAAAGATTCAGTCGCTGCTAGGAAATAGCACTACACTATTTGCAACAAGCACGTTATATTATGTCATTTTATAGGAAGCGCTTGGGTGAATTCTAGAGCAAGATGGGAAACCGGACCACTATTATGTACAATTGCCACACTCTCAAGACTCGGCTGGACACACAAGTGACGTCATTTGGGGTCAAACAAAGGGCGAGCTGATTGAACATCAAAATTACCGATTCGCTGCATATAAATAAAATAATACGTTGTGATTAGAGTTTAGCTTGACGCTGCAATTATTGGATTTCATTGCTGCTTTTAATTCGTGTTCATTTAGCTTCCGTAATCCATCACAGCGCAAGTGACTAGGTTTCCTACACTACCTTCGTATAGGAATTATAGTAATTTACCTTTTGAATTAAGTAATATTTCTTTAAAATGTTCTTTAGATTGTTTTATTATATATGTCAGGTTGGCCATTGGTACAGCAGGTATAAACTCAATGTAGCGCGCTTAGTACATATTATAGTAATATCGATAAAAATATTTTTTGATTAATCTCAGGTGAAATTTTCTCATAATATAATATAGTTTTAATTAAAAAGTCAATATTTGAATGTTTTTTATGAGTAACATTAATTTAGACTGTGGTCTTTGATGTATATATATTTTTTTAAATATAGATAAAATTTTAGTACACTATTAGCTTCATGTTAATATTAATCTAAACGACCGTTGCATTATTGACATATTTATAATAAAAATAAAAATACGCTTATTATAGGAAAATTGTTTAGAAATATTTCGTTTTAATAAACGGTAAGTACAAAACGTATATATCAATTGTCACATCGTCATTAATAATTTCGAATTTAAGAAAGTATTTTTGGTATAATTTTCGTATCAAGAAAAAAAAAGGTTTTTACTTTAGCTTAAATTGTTTTCTAGTATGCAACGGTCAATATTGTAATGATAATAATAAATAATAATAATAGGTGTCACTGTATAACAGGTATGTAACTACGTACTAACATATTCTATATAATTGTTAATATTAAATTAATTATAATGAACGTTGATTATTTTTTATTATTGTATCGTTTCAGTTTGAATTATAAAGATCCGACCACAAATTATCGATCAATCAATCTTAGGAAGATTAATCAATTTCTTATAATGCTACTTACAATGAAATACGGTAAATGTTGCCATAAATTATACACGTAATTTCTATGTAAAGTAGTTTCAGTGATTACTTTTTTTTTTCATTTTTTATTAGAGCCATACACCTATTAGGTTAAGTCTGCTGCGTGATTACTTAAAAATAATACTTTTTTAATTGTTGAAATGAGATGCGAGGAAGGCGGATTTAATTTTCAATATTTCCTTAGTTTTTGGAAATAGAATTGTGGCGGGTAGCCATCATACAACGCAAGATAGTTGACAGATCCCTGAATCTCGCTTACGAGATACAAGTTCCGAACAACAACTTCGGACCGTCGCGGCGTCGGTCTACCGAGCAAATATCACCCGCTCGGTGGAAGATCTTCCTTTCCTCGTATATTCCCATAGAATAAATATTGAATTAGCGCACAGAGATCGGTCGTTCTCAATGCTGTTTTTTTTTTTGTAAAATGTAATTTTTAGGAAAAAACATTCAGTGCGAAATTGGAAATTCGCGGACTTGTCGTCGGATCTTTCGTTTAAATTCACGCTTGCAATTTTTATTTCGTATTAGCCAATTACCTACATAATTATGTAGTATAAATAATTAATTTATCCAATACGTAATTTTATTTTAACGACTTAAGTTTTGGACGGGGTCAAATAAAAGTTAAGAATAAAAATACAAGTTTTATTAATTTATTAACGCTTAACAAATATTTAACAGTCTTAACAGTTTAGAAATACGAAACACTTTTTTTGTTTNATTTTTATTTCGTATTAGCCAATTACCTACATAATTATGTAGTATAAATAATTAATTTATCCAATACGTAATTTTATTTTAACGACTTAAGTTTTGGACGGGGTCAAATAAAAGTTAAGAATAAAAATACAAGTTTTATTAATTTATTAACGCTTAACAAATATTTAACAGTCTTAACAGTTTAGAAATACGAAACACTTTTTTTGTTTGTTTACAGAGTCGTATCTTAAATAATTAATCGATAAAGCGCTCTTTAGCGCTCGATAAAAATGTTTTTTTTTGTATAAAACAGCATTCAATGCGTATACATAAAGTACCACTTCAGTATAAATAGATTTTTATCGATTTCTAATTCAGCGGCGCTGAGCTGTTTGAGTCGTTTCTCGACGCCCTGCAGTACTGCTAGTTCGGACGGGGTCAGCGTTTCTTCAACCTGAAATACGAAGTTCACGTACATTGCTAATATCCAATAAACTTTTAGAATCTGATATACCAATTCTCAAACGTATGGCGTGTTTGCCTTCAATACCCTTGTTTGGTTTAGTGATTAATAAAGGAAACTTATCGAATGATGGCAATAAAAAATAAACTGTTTTCTGTAGTCTATTTACGGACGATAGTTTTACGTGATAACCTCATAAAGAAACGTTGATGTAAAATTGCATACTTTTATCAATATGCTTTAGTATTTTAGGTCTCTTAGAAATAGATTAATTCTCAGTGTCGTTCGGATTCGTCGTTCCCAGAGTCTACTAGATGTTCCGGGGCCTTAGTAAGAAGATCGAACAAATAAATCGACATAATTATTTCAGTGCGCCGCGTAGGGCACCGGTGACTTAAACGGCAATCGAAGGGTTAAACCGTGCATGTAGTTTTCGTTGGCAACGATCCAATTATCAGCACGTCATGACGGATACCCGGGTGGGGGGCTGTCCCCTTCGCACTTACGTCATCGATGTTCTGTTGCGGCTCGGCGCGCAGCCTCATGCCGTGCACTATGCTGCGCACGCGGCGCTGCTTGTCCAACAGCCGCGCGTGGGCCGCCCGCTCGTGGGACGCGCGTCGCAACACGTTGCCCAGAGCCTTGTAGCACATGTCCTGCACTGTGTGTGCCACCTGCCGACAATACGTGACGTAGACTGAGCAACGCGGTTCAATATACGTCATTTCGGATTCTCCAGATCCACTAACGGTTCTTTTAGGTACCCCAAGCATCGTTCTCGTCAAACGGCGAAGGGCTCGACGAGTAAATTAACCCACAGACACAACCCGGTCATTTACTGAGACTTTTTTTGGAGGATCCCGAGGAGTTACGTCCAGTGGCTTTGTTATATTTTCCCACATATATGAAAGTGCACAAATGATACTAAACAGTTAATAAACCACGGTTATTACAAATTTAAACCCTAAGAAACACTAAATAGACAAAATAAAACAAATCGCACAACTTCACTCCTCGCGTTCCCGCCAAAAAGTCAGATTTGATGGAGAAATAGTGTCATGGCGGACGTCGCTCGCTGACATTTTGACGTTCAGAAACTGAACAGTTACTTAATATTTTTTTTGATACGTATTGTAATTCAATCAATTATTAATTATACTCACGTCGTGTAGATTAATATGGAACAAATAGACGGCCTTGTTCATGCCGCCGGCCGACGCGGTTTTCCTCATTGGCTGAAAAGAATACCTATGTATTAGATGAATTATTAGAAATATAATCTATATTCTATTTACCAACTAATCTGTGCTTTTTATCATTATTGCTTACACCAGTGATATTATATCCATTTATATTAAGTAGTTAACAGAGTTTATAGACATAATGACTTGAATATTTTTTTTCCTATCTATGCTGATAGCCTTGAGAAGCTATTTCAGCTTCGCCCTAACATGTAGGTGAGCTCACCGACCTCAAACCGAAAGTGTTGCTAACACTGACCCTAGCAAGAGCAGTGCTTCACAGAATCTACCACCGGATCGGAAACGCGACCCACTGAGATGATCCGGCGAGAAACTCAGTGGACTGTGTCTGTGGGTTAATTACCTGTCGCTTGCAACGGGTTCGGTGAGGTCGAAGGCTCATATGAACGCAGTGCTGTCCATATGAGCCTCCGACCCTGCAGATCTTGGCTCTGAGTCCGACGTGAACTGAAGATCATTTCGAGAGAATCCGCATCAGACGGTAGACCTCAAATTTGAAACCGAAAGAGTCCGGACATACTATACCCACCTGTAAACTAATGAAATGCTCTTCTAAAAGTTTATAGGACAGCTCTTTGCATTCCTTGTTCGGTAGCATGGCGTTTTTTTGTACGTCATCCTCTTCTATATATTTCTTGTCGAGAATTATTCTGAAAAAAAAAATACATTAATTATAAAAAAAATAGTCATATTTTTTGACTTCATTGTTATAAATGGGCGAACGAGCTCACGTCTGATCTGGCGTTAAGGTCGAGAGCCCATGGACATCACGAATATTAAATTGTATACCGGCTGGCTCAAATTCGAATTAGAATACGGAACTACGGATAGGTGGTGGATGCTTTGTTTGATTATACCCTACAATCAATAATATCGCCTCATTAACTAATCAATCGATGAGACAACGAACAGTTGTTACTAAAGCTGCTACTCACCGATACTACTACCTCGTGATGTTTTTGTCACAAATCAAATTATTTTAATAATAGTTACAGACCTTAAATCGTCGAACCGGTGTGTTACTTTTGGTGGAAATGTGCCAAGAGAAATGACATGTGATTATTTTCTTTTTTTTATTGCTTACATGGGTGGGCGAGCTCACAGCCCACCTGGTGTAAGTGGTAACTGGAGCCCATAGACATCTACAACGTAATTGCGCTACCCACCTTGAGATATCAGTTCTAAGGTCTCAAGTATAGTTACAACGGCTACCCCACCCTTCAAACAGAAACGCATTACTGCTTCATGGGAGAAATAGGCAGGATGGCGGTACCTACCCACCCGCGCGGGCCCACAAGAGGTCCTACCACCAGTAAAAAAAAGCTCAGTTTAACCTGAATATCCTGGCGGCCTTGTAGCCCAGTCTCTCCGTGACCAGCCCCTCCAGCAGCGCCAGCAGGCACCCCCGCGCCGCGCCCGCCCCCCGCACGCTGTACCCTCGCCCCCCCGCGTCCGCGCGCACCGTGCCGCACCCGCTCTCCTCTGTCACACGCAACGCACTCNATCCGCTTTCAGAAACTTCCACACTTCTATTGGAATACCATCTGGTCCAATAGATTTTCCATTCTTCATATCTTGTACAGCCTTTCGTACTTCTTGCATACTTATTTCCCTTACTACCCCAGTATTTATTGGAACATTTTGCAGTTCACCACTCCAGTCATTCTCTTCATTCATCAACCTTTCAAAATACCTCTTCCATCTATCTCTTAATTACTTAATTATTTCTAATACAGAAAAATGTTTTTTAAATTCCAATTCAATCACTATCAAATGAAAAGACAACCGACAGATCAGAGTCAGAATCAGTATGTATCTTTTTTTCAGTAGGTTTTTTTCTACCTGAACTTGTTGAAAGTGGAGTAGACGAGGTTAAATAACACATAAAGTGGTTAAATAGCGTAAATTTTCGACATCGATAAGCGCGCGTCACAACCGTCACGGACAACACTCGACGTCAGACAAATGCGGGGAGGTGGGTGAGCGTGGGGCGAGCTGTCCCCCGCGCGTCGCCTCTGGCCCCGATGGACATGAACTCGCACGCATACAGTGTGTATTTTAATAATTGAAGACATGAGTGGATGAAGGTTCGATATGATACAATTTGTTAATTTTGAGAAATCGGGCAACAAGCTTTTGTTAGTTATTTTTGAGATATTATGCGTTTGTGGTTGTTATTTTTATTACTTTAAATTGTGAAATTATAGTACTTCCATATCTTTACCAATATGGAGTGTGTGTGCCAAATATAATGCCACGCATATATTCTCGATCTGTCTCTTCCATGGTAGTGTTAAATGTTTAACGCAATCTTGTTGGAAGCCGCATTAGAAGTTTTACTTCAAAAAAAAATCATCAAATACTATACTAGAATATTGTGCCTCCTCTTTAATATCCTACATAATCCTAACTACCCGCAATATTTACGTGATCGCTTTACCTATGCCCGTCCCTCCCTTGCTCCTTGTAGAACACACATTAAAACTCTCCTCAAATGCCCTGTTCATAAAACACATGCTTACGCAAAATTGTTTTCTGTACAAGCAGTTGTACTTTGTAATTTCCCTCCCTCCAAGCATACGAGCGTGCAAAACCATAGCAGCGTTCAATAATTCTGTTAAAAAAGTTTAACCTGAATATCCTGGCGGCCTTGTAGCCCAGTCTCTCCGTGACCAGCCCCTCCAGCAGCGCCAGCAGGCACCCCCGCGCCGCGCCCGCCCCCCGCACGCTGTACCCCCGCCCCCCCGCGTCCGCGCGCACCGTGCCGCACCCGCTCTCCTCTGTCACACGCAACGCACTCTTTTTTTTTCCTGCTTAAGCTGAAAAGCCTTGAGAGGCTATGTCAGCGTAACGTAAGCGTGTTGCTAGCACTGGCCCTAGCAAGAGCAGTGCTTCGCAGAATCTACCACCGGATCGGAAACGCGACCCACTGAGAAGATCCGGCGAGAAACTCAGTGGGTTGTCTGTGGGTTAATTTACTCGTCGAGCCCTTCGTCGCAGGCGATGGGTTCGACGAGAACGATCATGGTGCTTAGGGTACCTAAAAGCACTAATGGATCGGGAGGATTAGAAATGACGTGTCAGATTCACCATAATTCAATATTACTTCAACTTATAATTTATGAATTTTCAATATATTACTGGATTAGTACACTGCGCGAAATTCGTTTCCAAATGATTTTGTCCATCTGACGGTTGTCTGGAAGAGATCGCTCTTAGCGATAACACCTCCATTTGTACTTTTTTATTTATTTATTTAATGTATCACATTGTTTTTTTTATGCACAATAAAGAATACTCACTCACTCATCAAAAAAACTCACCCAAGACCTTTAGATATTGATCGAAATACTGATTCAAGAGGGGCTTGTCAGCAGCGGCCCGGAGACAAGCCTCCCTCAGTTCCACGGCCGGCACTAAGGTAGACTCTGCAGCCCACGCCGGAGACGTCAGGTACATGTGCTGCAGCATATGACGAAGAAGCTCACCGGCTGAAGATGATGAAGTAGATGAAGACGCAGGCGGGTATTGATATTTTAACTTCACGTATAATCCTCAATTAAAATTCACTACAAGAGGTTTCCTGTGTGTACGTTAATGTTAAAAAATCTCATAGATGGCGCTGTATTAAAAAAACACTACACCGAGAACGTCTAATGTGTTCTATCTCATTCTCTCGGCGGCTGAATCCTATACATTTATGTGTTTGTGTCTCTATGGACTTATTTTTTCGTTTCATCGAGTTTGAAATCACAACGATTCTAAAGAAGTTTCACTTCAAAAAGTCTTTAAAAAGTCGTCGTGGCCTAAAGGATAAGACGTCCGGTGAATTCGTGTTGAGCGATGTACCGGTGTTCGAATCCCGCAGGCGGGTACCAATTTTTCTAATGAAATACGTACTCAACAAATGTTCACGATTGACTTACACGGTGAAGGAATAAAATCGTGTAATAAAAATCAAATCCGCAAAATTATAATTTGCGTAATTACTGGTGGTAGGGCCTTTAGTGAGTCCGCGCGGGTAGGTACTACCGCCCTGCCTATTTCTGCCGTGAAGCAGTAATGCGTTTCAGTTTGAAGGGTGGGGCAGCCGTTGTAACTATACTGAGACCTTAGAACTTATATCTCAAGCTGGGTGGCGCATTCACGTTGTAGATGTCTATGGGCTCCAACCCGCACAGGTAGGTACCATTCTGCCGCAAAGCAGAGAAAGCAATTGAGTCATAATCTTCTTCATCCACATATGCAAAAACCAATCTTGGCTAGAACAAAAAAAATTTGGCCCCTGGCATTGCTACGGTATCCCTGAGTCTGCCTCAAAAGTAGTTTAAAAAAGAAAACAACATTAACCGTTTTCATCTATTCGTCTTGTGATTGCTTTGATCATGATTTCGTCGCGGATATCCTGATGGAACCTGTCGTAATTAACTTTCCAGAACACATCTGAAACAATAACATAAATATCTCAAATTCTTAATTTATTTAATAGATCAATATTGACCAATGGTCAACCAATCTGTCAAAAATCTTGTATTCAAACATTCATTCATAACTCATGTTGTGGTTTTTATATTGGGGTATATATGAACATTTAAAATCGGATAGACCGCTAACCAGTCTGCCCAGCATGACCAATCAAAGCTCAACAATGGAGCCTCTCACATCATCTATACATTATATATGATATTCTTCATTTGATTTGGAATTTGAGTATCATTTTAACAGAGACATACATAGGTGATGCTCGGATTTATTATTAGGTGGAATGCCAGGCTTTCTTTGACAACAATATCACTAACTTTCGCAACGGTATCTCCAGTTCATATTCTGTTGTTCTACGAACAGTATTCAATGGTAAATATAATGTGCATTGTGTTAAAATTACTCAATTACTCGTTGAGTATCATTTTCAACAGTGACATACATAGGTGTTGCTCAGACTTATTATTAGGAGGAATACCGGGCTATCTTTGACAACACTATCACTGGGTTTTGCAATGGCAACTCCAGTTCATACTCTGTTGTTCGACAAGCAAGATGATATTGAAATTACTCACTATCACTACTTTCAGCTAAATTTCCAGAATTCATAATTTTAATGAGAGCTCGTACATCAATCTCTGGTGTTATAGTTGCGACGGGCACCAGTGTCGGTATCTCGCTGCCTTCCTTCAGCTCAGCTACAGATGCTTGCTGTATGTAACCAGCGGTTATCAGACTTATAAATATATCTTTTAGTTTCACTATAGTCATGTTCTTTTCCTGGAGAAGAAAGCAATATTTATCAGAATAGCTAAAAGACATGATTACAACTAATTTTCCTAGTAAAAAGGAACATTGTATAAATCAAAACATTTTGTGCTTATGGTTTTTTTTAATGCCTTTGTATGCAGCTTTGTATGCATACGGCCTACCTGATGGTGAGTGGTTACTGTCGCTTATGGACGTCAGACAACTGCTACCATAAATTTACGCATTATTAGGTAACCATAGTAATTATAGTATGTGGTATAATATATATTATATTGTAAAGTAATAAACATTTTGAGTAAAATGGGTTCTTTTTAGAATTCCAGATCTTAAAAGGATAAAAAGAAACCGTTATAGAATCATTTTGTTGTTTTTTCTGTCTGTCTATCTAACAATGGATAACCGATTTTTTTTTGCATATTCCTGAAACTCAAATTTAAAGCAATGTGATAAAGAGGATTAATTATTTATATTGTTGGAGTTATCATGTGCACTGGCCACAAATTAAATTAGGCTTTCTATAAGCTTTTCCTTCTACTATCTTATTTATCATATTAAATGTAAAATGTTCCTGCAAATAAACTGAGAATACCAGATCTAAATATGCCACTTTAGTGCGGTGGTGCTTATAAAATGACTATGAACTAAGTACCTTGTCATCTTTATATTTAACAGCAATGGAGACTAATAGCACGGTAGCAGTGGAACATGCCTTTTGCAACAACTCTTCAATCAATATTTCTGCTTCACTACCGTACTTCGTTTTAATTTGTAGTAAATACCTGAAGAAATTTAACACTAATCATACCAACATTTACTGGTAACTATTTATACCATAGCGGGTAGATAACGGTATACGACAAGTATTACTCAAAATAAACGAAACAACACAGACAGAAAAAGTATAATTGAGTCGACTAGTATCAAAGCCGGCAATGTGACTTTTGGACAATTACTGGTAAATCAGAAAAACGAATTATTGACTTTGTATTCCATTGGCAGTCACAAAACTCTTCTGAACGACATCTTAGATAAATAACAGGTTAAGTATTAACCTTTATTTAATGCAGGTTTTGAACCGTATTCTTTGAAGGAGACAATTATATTCAANTGACTTTTGGACAATTACTGGTAAATCAGAAAAACGAATTATTGACTTTGTATTCCATTGGCAGTCACAAAACTCTTCTGAACGACATCTTAGATAAATAACAGGTTAAGTATTAACCTTTATTTAATGCAGGTTTTGAACCGTATTCTTTGAAGGAGACAATTATATTCAAATCAATCTGTATTGACATATCAATAACATTTTTTGTCCAAATGCACAGATTGCCACCTTTGATAATAGACGACTCAATTACTGTAGATTAATTGGGAAGAAAAAGTCATGAAATCAAATGTGCAAAAGCAATAAGCATTTCCAATGCAAAAGTTCAAAATGCGCATTTAACCCATTTACGGTATGTTAATAACTATCAAATATAAATTCATTCATCTGCAAAAGTGACTGTTACTTCTTCCTCAATTTTTTATATTATTATACCGTTTTTATGGTTGACACAGATTTAAGAATTTTATAATAGATTAATGGTATGAGGCAGTCTGGAATGAGACAATAGATTAATTTCAGCTTGGCATACAGAGCTATCCCAGTCTCACCAAATACTAACAGTCCAGTATTGGAACTGCTTATTACCGCATTTGAATAATGAGTGACAAACATAAAATCCATAGTATGCAACAGATGTAATGCTCTGTGAAGCCAAAGTTATCCTACTGTCTCTTCCCAAAGACCAATGCATTTTCTACTGTTGTATACTGAATGTTAAACTACCCTGTAGTTGCTGTATGTAATCAGCCTTAATGTATATTTTAAGAATTAGGATTCCCTGTACTATGAGGCTGATATATTTGGAACCCTGATGAAGAGCAAACAAACTTGTTTCTCACATTGTTTTTGCACAATGTGGCAATGGAACCCACAACCCTCAGTACAGCAATCAGGACACAAACTACTTCTGAGCCAATTAAATATATAATATAAATAAATAAAACCATATTTTAGATTTAATCGATGTGAATAATACCTTGGATATCGAATCATCAAAAGCACATTCTCTGGAATTAATCTGTAATCTGCAATTACTTCATTTGGAGTTGGTTCAAACATTGCCAAATCATACTTCAGTAACGTTCGGAGACTTTCTACCACCTGTAATGTACATTAAGCTTTAAATTGATTAAACTTGAATAGTTTTCAATATTTTTTGTTATAAATCCTATAGAAGATACTGCATTTCAATGCGATGCGCAGAGACTATCAGCCCATGCCATTGAAATTTACTTCCATTACTGTTCACATATAAGTCTAGGAAATAGCATTGATATAATATTAAAACATATTGGTGGGGAAGCATATTGTCACACTAAGAGGTGAGGTACCCCATCTTGCCTTATTTCTATTACAAAGCGGTCATGGATTCCAGTTTAATGGGTAGGATAGTCATAATACAATACAAATCGAGACTTATTTTCCAAGAAGGAGGTCACATTCTTAGTGTGATGTCTAAGTGTTGAGTTACTCTGTGTTAGGTGGTGTAGTAACTAAAATGGCCAACTAGGTAGAAAAACTAAGCTATTTGGAGGAAGTTGAAACATAAAAGTAAGAGAGACAGATTATTGTGAAGAACAAAAAAAATTATAAAATTATAATTACATGTTATAGTATGTGTGTATGAAATTATTGTATTGAAAAGGATTATAAAAAACTGATTGAGACATAAATAAAAGGCAATATATAGACAATCATGTTTCATAAAGAGATCTTAAATGAAAGGTCTTCAGTAATTCTCATGTGGGCTGTTAGGTAATTCATCTATATATTCAAATAATCAAGATAATAATACAATACTCTAAGTTGACTCAAGACCAATATCTTCATCGATGAAATCATAGGAATCATAACATTTAGGATCAATAAGCAAGATGGTATATTGTTGAATAAATAAAAGAGCCACCAACATTGTAACAAAATGAAATAATCGCGTGTAATATATAGTAGAAGGTGGAATAGTGCAAATTGATGATAATTCACATCTGTACTAAGCTATAGTGACCGAAAAGTTCACATTACGAGAATGATGAAGGATAAATTTATCCTTTATCATTATATCTATTAACTACTGAACAGAACACAAATTTAAATGTTACATTATTTCCGTATAACGTTTTAAAAAATATACTGTATAACGATATTATTTATTAATTTAATTATGCTGAAATACCGTGCACAGCATAACCTATGAACTTTAGAGTATTTTCGTTATTTACCTTAATTCTGGAAAGATCAGTACTCTTCACTAATAAGGCAATGGGTTTACTGCCATATGTAAATAAATCGTCGCCAACTTTCTGTACATTCTCGCCAAAATATCTCTGGAGAATCACAGAAACAACACGGCCCAGCTGATGTGACATTCTAAATAGTAGTTACGGACAAGAATTAAATTAAGAAGTGCCTTTATGCATTATTTTTTATTTCATATTAAATAGGAACAGAGTTTTATTTATATCATTTTACATATCGAAACAACTGCATTTTGCATTTATAAACACATAACTTCAAATCGGCATGGTTGAAAGTAGCACAGTTCAGCACACACCACAACACAAGTCACAACACACGCCATAGATTATACACTTAATATATTTGAGATAGCTCACTGAATTGGGCCCCCCTTTTTTGCTATTCGGGTTTTTTTTAATTATTTGTTCGTCATTTGTTCGTTAATGTTTTAATGTTTGTTCGTCTTTTAATTATTTATAATTAATTAAACAAATGATCACCCTTAAGTTGGCTTCCTTTACTAGATATCTTTATTTTTATCGCTCAGATTATAATTTTGAACAATTATCGTTTGTTCGACGACTATTGGTGATTGTTCGATCATAAAAACATTTCCTAATTATTAATTATTTTATATCTAATAAGCAAACCATCAATTACCTCACGCTTACGATTCTGAATAAAAAAAACTAAGCCTTGTAATATATATCAATCAAGATATTTCTCGATCATAATAATTAAGTTAATATAGATGTAAATAAATATTTTTTTAAATAAAATCCTGTTTATAGAGTATATATATACTAAGTTTATTCTTCCATATTAAATGATTTTCTACTAAATGTCCTTGCAATATATTTCTTGATCTTATAAATAATTATCATTTCAACAAAAACAGATTTTGTATGCATTACATTTACATTTTTTGAACTACGTAATGAATTTAGGAATTATGTATTAATTTTATTTTAAAATACAATTATCATAACTATCTCCTCTTGCATGGTAATGAATAGTATTATTTTAACACGAAAGTTCTACTCCTAAAATATTCTTAAAATAATTAGAAATCACTGAAGTTCCTATATGCTTGTTAATATTCAATATAATTAATCAAATAACTGAATTTATTAAAACCGCACTAATCGTACTTTAACGACTAATTGGCCGTCTTCACTGACATTTTTTTGTTGAAGTATTGTTGAAGTTTTCGATATTTTTTGATCTACATAACAAATAATTAGACAGTATAAACGCACTTGTTAACAAAACGCTAGTAAATACGGGCATTGGCAGCTGACTGACAAAATCGGCGCATGCGCAATGTACGCGTGAGGAGATGATGGTTTACTTATTAGATATAAAATAATTAATAATTGGGAATTTAATTGTTTTTATGATCGAACAATCACCAATAGTCGTCGAACGAACGATAATTGATCAAAATTAATTGAATCTGAGCGATAAAAATAAAGATATCTAGTAAAGGAGGTCACATTAAGGGTGATCATTTGTTTAATGAATTATAAATAAATAAAAGACCAACAAACAGTTTTTACATTCGCACATTAACACACACTGACATAACGAACAAATGACGAACAAATAATTAAAAATTAAAAATAATCTGAAAATCAAAAAATCATCTCATTTTATTTAATTTCAGCCCAGTTGATTAATGTCTTAAATTAATCATCTTCATTTCATTTATCTCCTATATTATCATTTTTCATAAAAATAAGAATATAAATTAAAATAAGACATGACTTAAAGGTCTTAGTTACCAGGTCGTAAAATCCCTTAAAAAATAGTTAATATGGCCTAAAGTTCTAGATACCAGGCCATAAACTAAAAAAAATAATTAAAAAATGTTAAATAAACAATAAATCTTCAAACTTCGCAACTTCAAAAGTTAATCATCGTTTCACGTTAAAGATAAAAATGATAAAATAAATATTATTAAATGAGTTTAATGTAACTAAAGTAAAAATGAATATAGAGCACGCAGCTATAAACATATTGAAGCGAGGAGTAGAATTAGACACAAAGAAACGATATACGGAAGCATTGGTGTGTTATCAAGAAGGACTACAGATTTTAGTCGATAAAATGAAAGGTAATTTAGCTAATCACTTAATTTATTTGAATAACTACTATGGTGAAAAGCCAGTGTATCAGAATTTGTTGCTCTACTCTTGATTTTTTTTGTTAAGAGGCATATAGAGCTTTTGTTTATTTTAAATTAATAACCACTATTCCAATTATAAAATTATAATACAAAAATATTAGGTGAACCTGATGAATCACTGAGGTCATATTTGAGGAAGAAAGTCGAGGAATACATGAATAGAGCTGAGACAATAAAAAAGTTAGTTTTGCAACAAAAGGAGGCCGGCCAATTTCATGAACAAATCCATATAGAGAACAATTCAATAGGGCATAGCTACAAAACACTTTTCGGGAGGTTCCTTGATGAAGATGTTCAATTTGTGATTGTCGAAGACCCATACATTAGGTATCATCATCAGGTAATATGAATAAAACAGATTTCTTTATTACAATTTCGTATCATTAAAAAACAGTAGCAAAGATAGCATAGCATTTATATAGCAAAGATCAGGTATACAGTTAAATTTTACACAATGCCTCTGATTATATACCTATAATTTATATATAACTACTTCAATTAAAATATACTAAAAGTTTTTATGTCTTCTTATCAATAGCAAGTTTGAGTTTTTTTCTCAAATCAACTATATATTTCAGAAATTAAATATACAATTAATAAAATGGGTAGGCCTCCCACTAGGTGGATTAAAAACCTGCTAAAAGAAGCAGCAATCAGACTGATCAAATCAGAAAACTTTGGGACATTATACTAAATTGGTAAAAAATATATTTGCTAAGCATTGGGGTTAGTAACTTTGGAATTTAACATCACCCATTCAAAATAAAAAGATGGGCTGTTTTCTGCAACTTTCTGCAGCTTCTTGATGTAGTCAATGACCTCAGTATTATTGATAATAGAACCTCTGAGAACCATTAATGTTAAACACATGTTGCTCATAAATTCATGATATTGAATCAGTTATTGTTTACAATATAAAAAATTTGCAGTGATAGGTTGAAATTCACCAATTGCTGATAATATACAAAAATAATAATTTGTTCATAGGTGTGATATCAAATTTCAGTGTCAAAATTTTCTGAAGCTCTCGGAATTATTAGTAAGGTCATGTCCGAATCTTAGTTACATTGAACTCGTAACAGCAAGTGATGCAAAGTCAGCGAACGATCAGAAGAATTGTTTTCATATCTTACAAAATGATTTGGGAAGACATAAAATTAAATTAACTGTCAAATATTCAGAAACCTTACACGATAGACAAATTATGTAAGTATTAAACAGAAATATTTTATTCTTCCTTTTATTTGCCAGCAAAGATTTGCAAGCTATCATTGCTTAGTCTGGTGTGTACTACTTGTAAGTGGTAATTGATAAACATCAACATACAGCAAGCACCATTACATCTTGCTCAACAATATAAATATCTCCATGTGCTGCAGTTTTTTTTACATATAATGTCGATAAGTCGTCGTGGCCTAAAGGATAAGACGTCCGGTGCATTCGTATGTAGCGATGCACCGGTGTTCGAATCCCGCAGGCGGGTACCAATTTTTCTAATGAAATACGTACTTAACAAATGTTCACGATTGACTTCCACGGTAGGAATAACATTGTGTAATAAAAAAGAATCAAACCTGCAAAATTATAATTTGCGTAATCACTGGTGGTAGGACCTCTTATGAGTCCGCACGGGTAGGTACCACCACCCTGCCTATTTCTGCCATGAAGCAGTAATGCGTTTCGGTTTGAAGGGTGGGGCAGCCGTTGTAACTATACTGAGATCTTAGAGCTAATATGTCAAGGTGGGTGGCGCATTTACGTTGTAGATGTCTATGTGCTCCAGTAACCACAACACCAGGTAGGCGCTGAGCTCGTCCACCCATTTAAGCAAAAAAAAAAAAAAAAAATTTGTAACTAAATTATGATGATAAGTTATAGACAATGAACTGCATTTATCCCATAGAGACGACCCACTGGGTGTCTCGCCGGATCTTCACAGTGGGTCGCGATTCCGATCCAGTAGTAGATTAAGCGTAGCACTGCTCTTGCTAGGGCTGGTATTCACAATTCTCTCAGGTTGAACCCGTGAGCTCACCTACCGGTTGAAATAGCCCCTTAGGTTACCAACAATTAGGTAGGGGAAAAACATTTATGGCAACAAAAAAATAAAGGCAGTCCAATTAGAAGAGCCGAAAATCAAATTCAGTGATATTGGGAAAGTTTATGTCCAAGAGTTGAGTGTGTGTTATATTGATGGTGTTTCTTTATTTTTGTCTTCAATATTCATCTACAATCCATTGCAACAATGGCCATACTACCCTTCCTAAATGCATGATTGCTGTAATATATGGGCTACTAATATACTACCAGTGACATCTGTTTTGTATTGACTTTTTTATTCACATTACATTTACAGTCTGAGCTCAGGTTGGATCATCAAGATCGGACGAGGTCTAGACTACTTCAAGGCTCCGGAGAACAAATATTGTCTAGGAGTGTTCGAAATGGATCTAAGACCCTGTTTGGAGACAACAGTAGATATAGTACACTCAAAGAATGTGAGACAGATTCAAAGTTAAACAAAATTTTAGTTTCTAAATCAAAAAAAGTAATAAACCAAAAAATTCTTGAATATAAAAACTTTGGAGGAACTTGAAAAACAAAATTAAAACTGAATATTCTACATTAAATATAGTTAAAACAATATTCTTGAAATGGGAGCTCAATTTATATTGGTTGTACTTGGCTGTAAAAAGCTGTGATTTTATAGTTATACCGCACATATTAGCGAGAAAAGTTTAATCAAGTTCAATACAGTAGTGGTGCTAAAACGAACAAAACATTATGATATTTATACGTATAAGAAAAAATTGTATTTTGTTATTTCTTGGTTTATAAAAGAATGTGAAAACTGGAATTGTAAAAAAAAATAGTAATTATACTTTTTTTTGTCTTCTGTAATACGGTTCACCTGATAGTGAGTGTTGACTGTCGCACATGGACGACAGCAATGTCTGGGGCACAGACTTTCTTTGAAGAAGGACAGCTTGCAAGGATAGCGTTCAGGAAACACCATATAGGAGAAGTTCATTCCAAAGCCGTTTGGTACGCGTTAAAAAAGATTTCTCGAAACGCACTGTGGATGAACTTTGCTCCGATGGCGAGCAGGGCGATGGTAAAAATCAGTGTGCTTAGTGCTAGTTTTTAACGGCGTTTTAACAGCGCCCCTAGCGACAAACGTACGCAAACATTCTAACTCCATACAAATTTGCGTTAACTTTAACGCTATCGAGAACGTTAAAAAGCTCACAGATGAAGGGTTCATATCAAACCACTTCTCAGAGCACACTGTCTATGAAATATGATTAATTATAAGAATAAATGATGTTAGTTAAAATAAAATTAAATAAAAATTTTGATATTATTATGGAGATTCATAAAATAATTCGCACATTTATTAATTTAATTTCATTTCTACCGGTGGTAGGACCTCTTCTGAGTCCGCGCGGGTAGGCACCACCGCCCTGCCTATTTCTGCCGTGAAGCAGTAATGCGTTTCGGTTTGAAGGGTGGGGCAGCCGTTGTAACTACATATATTTGAGACCTTAGAACTTATCGACGCTTGAAAGGCAAACGTGACTAAGCGACAATGCGTGAACTTTATAGTAGACTAATTTAAAGTTGAAATACCTGAAAACAAAATTTATTTTAACGAATCTAACTGTAGTAGAATCCAGCTGGTAGCTGTAGGATTGAAATGATTTTAATAGACCTAGAAATATTTTTTTTTTGCGCATCGAATATGGTTATTGCCTATCATTTATGTACAAAGTAGTTATTGTCGCTTAGTCACGTTTGCCTTTCAAGCGTCGTTATATTTCAAGGTGGGTGGCGCATTTGCGTTGTGGCTCTCTATGGGCTCCAGTAACCTTTTAAAACCAGGTGGGCTGTGAGCTCGTCCACCCATGTAAGCAATAAAAAAAAAAGATGAGTGAATATGATTTTTTTTTAACAAGAATATTTATTATCACCTAAATGTCAGTGTAACTGTAAGAGTGTTTGTAAGACTGCACGTGTCGTTTCGTACGTACACTTAATACGGTTTCGTATTAGGGTGTAAGAAAATACCGTAAAGTTATTTAAGATCATTTCTAAGACACTTTTCAAGGTTATGTTAACATATCAATAAAACATTTACTATTTTTCTATGTGGTATTTATTTAATGCAGTTGTTGAACTAACAATTGCTTAAAATTGTCATATTGAGGGGTGAAAGGCTTTTTAATTTATGCAAAAATTTTGCAACTTTCCTTTTTTTGTTTTTTTTTTGCTACCTAAGCTAAGTCTTGAGAGGCCATTTCAGCGTAACATTAATAAGTAGGTGAGTTCACGGGGCTCAAACCTGACGATGTTGCTAACACGAACCTTAGCAAGAGCAGTGCTTCGCAGAATCTACCACCAGATCGGAAACGCGACCCACTGAGAAGATCCGGCGAGAAACTCAGTGGGCTAATTGCAACTTTACAGGAGAGTCATTTAAAGTTTAAAATTTGGAAAAATATAATAAATAAAAAGCTTCTCCAGCTATTTGAATGAAGTAAACTTAATTGAAGTTCAATTAAAAATATTGAGTTGTTGATGCTAATACCAAATAAAACACACCTTTAACTACAAAGATAAATGTCGCGTACTAAGTGAAATGTCGCTTAAACCAAATAGCCTTTCACCCCTCGATATATAAGTTCAGGGTAAAATAATGAATTTCGTGTGTGAAGCCATTTATAAGTGTCAAAATTGTTCTTTAATTTTAGCTTGTTAAAAATAATAAAACAATTGTCACCTGAATTTCGCGTGGCTGTGGCGGTGTTTTTAATGGAGGTAGAACCTCTTGTGAGTCCGCGCGGGTAGGTACCACCAGCCTGCCTATTTCTGCCGTGAAGCAGAGGTCTATAGCCTATATATATAGTGACTATACTGAGACCTTAGAACTCATCTCTCATGGTGGGTAGCGGCATTTATGTTATAGATGTTTATGGGCTCCGATAACCATTTAACACCAGGTGGCCTGTGAGTTCGTCCACCCATCTATGCAATAAATAAAAAAAAGAGATTGAGTTATGCGATGCTCTGCAGTACCAGTTTAATACACATAAATGATATACAAATATACACAAAACTATTACAAGACGCAGCCACTAAGGTAAGGTATCAATTGTTATTTAAAATTTATTTAAAAAAAAACTGTTAATTTCTGGTCACACTACACATATAATCTCTGATATTATTGAATAATAATCCAAACTGACTGGCATTGTTTAAATAAAAAATGTTTCCAATAAAAACACATTTGGAGATAATATAGTTTTATTGAAACTAAAACCTTCACGTACAGTTCATAGACCAATAATATATGAATGAAAATGTAACATTATAACGGCTTTATTAATAAACGTCTTTACTAAACTAGACATAGTTCTATCGCGTTTATTAAAAAAACTGCTAAATAGTAGCCTTTCGTTTATAATATACAATTTCACCGAAAATTACCATTGATGTTTTGTACTGGTAACATGACAATTAATGTTGCCAATACAAAAAAAAATTGATAATCACTTTGGTTAAATAAAGTTTGTTTCTTAACTTAAAAACTTTGTTTTAGAAATTCATGTAGGTATTTGTATAAGGCTAACGAATACTAAAAGACTAGTAAATTAATTACACAAGTATGGCCTCCGAAGACAGAAACATAAAATGTATTAAAACTACAGCGACATTTACAAAGCGTCAAAATTATTGAACATTTGATTACTATTTGTTATGTTTTATTTAATATAAAAATTACAATATTTCAATAATGGAATGCATAGTGAATACGAATCCATACAGCACGAAACTTTTTGTTTCATTGTCAAATGTTTTTGAATAGCAATTTTATCAAGACAATAATACAATGGATTCGTCTTCACTTACATAGTATCTCAATATGCCCTATATGTTAGGATATTTAATTAGAATTGTTGGATTCTAAAATAGAAAATCATAAATTTGGAACCTGTGGCGTTGCGATAGAGTAATAAATTTTGGCACGATAATATCAGTATAATATATATAAAACGCCGCCATTTTGAATCGCACTTACTAAGGCATCGCACTTAAATGACTCTTGACTTATATTATACATTAATAAAAATAGTCATTACCGTTATTTTGGCAATGGGATACTAGTAAATGTCAGTGTCACAGCTCTTTATATAATGGTGTTTGTATAATTTAGATAACAAAATAAAACAAATACTTATAGAGCCAGTAATATGATGAAAGGTTTCAGTAAAAACACTTTTGGGTAAAGTTGGGGACATTACCGACTTGTGACGTCACAAAAAGGGTAAAACTCAAAGCATTTTGATCACATGACCAACCACGTCTTGTAGACTGCCATACAACCGATTTTGTAATTGTAACATTCTTTGTTATTTCAATCTAGGCAGAATAAAGATAAGGAGAACTGTTGTGGTAGTATGCTATGGAGGCAAGTGTAATAAATTTTCGGCCGTAAGTAGCAAATTGTAACTCTAAAACCTACCAAAATGGTGTTAGTAGCAAGTGATATGATATGTATATGGTGGTGGTGGTAAGACCTCTTGTGAGTACGCACAGGTAGGTACCACCACCTCGTCCATTTCTGCCGTGAAGCAGTAATACGTTTCGGTTTGAAGGGTGGGGTAGCCGTTGTAACCGAGACCTTAGAACTTATACCACTTAACACCAGGTGGGCTGTGAGCTCGTTTACCCATCTAAGCGATAAAACAAAAAACAAAATATGAATAGGAGTGCCGAGTCGAAATTTGATATGATAACTTTTGCGTTATTTTTAAAATTACACCACTTGCTACAGTGGCGCCACCTTCTTTGGTCGCTTGTCGTTGGAAACTTATAGCACACAGAGAATGTGCTTCTTACCTCTTCCTTCCATACTTCAGTCTCAATCAGATATATTATTAATCGAACAAGTTAAACGTAGCTCTCCTGTTTGGCCGAAAACAGCATTAGGGACTCCATTAAATGAGGTCGGATCATTTCTTGTACGTCTTTTTGGTATTCTTCGAACGCTTCAGGGATGTGCTTAAAGATGTTCCGCAGAGCTTTGAGGCAGTGTATGAGAGTTTGATCGGGATTTTTCTCCGGATGGGGGCGTGTCCTCTGCGATCTAACCAAGCGGATTAGATGAGGCACGCCTTCCAGTTGGACGATTTGGTGCGCCACGTCTGGTATAACTGATAGTCTGTGGTAGAAAGATGGATTATGTAGTATTGATTATCTGTGATAATAAAAAGTAGGTATGTTAAACGTTAATTGAAGACTAAATTGTTTTAAATTTTTTTTAAGTCTTAATCGATTTCAAGAGATCGCGGACTAGATGATTTTAAGCGGTTGTCAGATTTCCACAGACTTTTAAATAGCAGATTAAAATCATAATAAAAGTTGCATAAAAAATAATGTTTTTCTATTCATTGAACATAAATTGAATATTGCCTCGTGCGTATAAGTCTCAAAAAATACCAGATATACACACGTTCTACTAATGTTAACAATCTTAAAATATCTATCTATCTTAGTCTAAAGTCTAAAGAAAGAAAGAAACGTAAACAAACGTTTCGATACTGATTGCAATAATTTTCAAACTATGCTCTAGTTGTTAATGTAAATTTAAAAAATATCGATTTCGATATCTAATTATCGATATTAGGTGACAAACGAAATAAGCAGAGGTGTGGTTGCGTGTGTGTGTGTTTTTTTTCCAACACCTATTCTAGTAACCTAGAGGGGTTATTCTAGATTCATCGAACTAGTAGGTGAGCTCACGGGGCTCAAACTTGACGATGTTGCTAACACTGGCCCTACCAAGAGGGAAGGTACGTTGTATTCACCTGGCGATGGCTTCAGTGGCGTGGCAGTGCAGGCGGGTCTGCGCCCGCAGCTCGGCGGCGCGCGCGGGCGGCGAGGGCGGCGACCTGGTGAAGCACACCAGCGCCGCGCACACCCGCCCCGCGCGGCTCAGCGCCAGCACGCAGCGCGGCACGCCCGCCAGCACCGACACCAGCGACGCGGTCTGCTCCTGGACAGGCAACGGGATAAATGTCAATGTCACATAGACGTCAATGTCACATAAACGTCAATGTCATCTCAATAGGTTGTTAAAAAAAATATAGACCAACGTATACCTAAACAAAGAATTACAGTTTTACGTTACCGTTTCAATTTTTTTTCCCCTACCTATTCTAGTGGTGCTAACACTGCCCCTAGTAAGAGCAGTGCTTCGTTGAATCTACCACCGGATCGGAAACGCGACCCACTGAGAAGATCCGGCGAGAAACTCAGTGGGCTGTGGGTTAATTTACTCGCCAAGACCTTCATCACACTCGCCAAGTTTTGGCGAGTGTATAACTATAAGTAGTACTACATTTCGCGTTTTTTCCAGCAAAGCCAATAATTTGTTACTTCGTTATACCTTTCAGAATTTATATATTCTAAAAATAAATAAAATATAATTTATAATAAATTTTAAATGGTTTATTACATTTATAAACTAAGTAGAATTAAATGTGAATTTCTCATAAATATAACGTTAAATATACTAACTTGCAAAAACACGGATATGTAAGGTCCCCTTCGTTTAACCGCGTCCAGAAGCCTCTCGACGGTGTGATGTTTGTCCATCACATCCACGATGTCGGACTTGGTCCGGTCGCCGTCCCGCTTCTCCACCTCCAGCTCTCGTACCAAGTTCACGAGACAGGCCGTGCACAGCAACAGTAGCTGGCAGCAATCGGTGCGAGACAAGATGCCTGAGCGAAACAAATGATTTGGTAATTTCGACTCTGTTATCTATATATTAACACGTGAAGCAAAAAGTTTGTACCCCTTTTTACGCAAATTGCGCGGACGGAGGAGTAAGAAATTTCCCACACTTATAGAGAATATAGAGAGAGAGTGCAGAATGTTAATATTTAAAAAAATATATGCATTAATAATATATTAATTTAACAAAAAAAACATTACACACACTACCATGTATTTGACACACACACATATATATATACCCTTTATTTACAGTCAAACTTTTGTCATTGCATTAAAGTCTGGTCAAATTGAGAATAGTTTAATATACCTTATCTTTATTAATATTTGTATATAGTGTAGTCTTGGCGAAATCTGTGATTATAGAAGTATGATAGTCTTTGACAATAGAACCTTAATAAAGTTAAAAGTTATGTATAACTTCTGGTTTAAGTTTAAGTTAAGGTTTAAGTCTCAATTAATTATACTCGAATTTCGACTACAGAGGGACCACTAGTCTATACTAATTTATAAAGCTGAAGAGTTTGTTTGAACGCACTAATCACAGGAAGTACTGGTCCGATTTGAACTATTTTACGTAGCGACATCTATCGTCTAAAAAATACATTAATAGCTACAAATAATTTTCACCAGATGGCTTTGAACTTCACACTAAATCTAAACTCACCAGTAATGTTTTCAACGATTTTATCCAAGAACAAATGTAATTGAGTCAAATCGTAATGTCCTCTCAGCCAGGGCGCCGTGATCTGAGTGAGCACGGTGATCGCCTCGCGCATCTGCGGCTCCGGGTTCGACCGGTCCGAGAGAATGTCTGATATTATCTCAATACCACCACCCTGCGGATAAAAGCGATGGGTTGATGAACGCTGCGATATAATCATCAGGTTTGAGCCCCGTGAGCTCACCTACTAGTTAAGGCGACGCTGATATAGCCTCTCAAGGCTATCAGCTTAGGTAGGAAAAAAAAAGCGATATAACATCGGAAAGTTTATAGTTGTGGACGAGCCCACAGCCCACCTGGTGTTAAGTGGTTACTGGAGCCCATAGACATCTACAACGTACATACGCGACCCACCTTGAAATATAAGTTTTAAGATCTAAGTATAGTTACAACGGCTGCCCCACCCTTCAAACCGAAACGCATTACTGCTTCACGGCGGAAATATGCAGGGTGGTGGTGATACCTACCCGTGCGGACTCACAAGAGGTCCTACCACCAGTAATGTATAAATGGAAACTAGTAATGTATAAATGGCTATTGTACCCGGAAATCTATTGCGTGTAGTAAATATGAGTCATTTGAAACCGAGCTAATGATAATTAAAGCTTGTATTGATAATCGATAGGCCAGAATATTGATGGCACTCTTTATAATAAAGGTCTTAAAAAAACTCTTTATAATTATGTACACAGCCAATTTAATATATATTGGTACTGTAATAATACTATAACTTAGTATGTATAATAATTTAAACATATTTATAAGCAAATAGGACGTATTGTAAGCGCATACAGGTAGATATCACCACACTGCATATTTATGCGTCACGCGTTCCGTTTTGAAGGGTTGCCATGTATATGATTTATATATTTGAGACTTCGACCTCATGTCTCAAGGTGGGTCACGGTTTTGTTAATGCTTTAACATTATAATAGAAATAATTTTGAAGTAGCTTGTCTAAAAAAAATGTGTATCTAAATATCTTAGCATTAGAATCAGTTGTAATTTATTTATTTGTTTTAATAGTTGCAATGGTGCATATGCGACCTTATGCCTATGCCTAAACTAAATACCTGTTGGAAAGCTTAATTTACAAAATATTATTGACTTATGAATAAATTGCGCATAAAATATGTACCTCTTCGAATTGTTTGACGGCGTCTCCTGTCACACACACGGTCGCTAAAGCTCTCAAACTTAAAGCTTTTATCGAGCTTTTATTGGTTTCAATAATCGCTGTCAATAAAGCTCTCGGTACAGCGCAGTCAACAAACGGAAGCTCTGTTATGCTCTTCATTATTTTTGAGCATTTCTCGTGAAGAGAGCTTTCGGTGGGCTCGCTTAGCATCGCCAAGTGCCCGATGGAAGTGAGCGTGCTCTTCAGGATCATGTCCGACGGAGGTTCTTCTATTATCGACACTAAAGTCTGGAAAATAAGTAGTATTTTTGAGTAAAACTCAGTTGAGTGGTTATCACAGTGGCTGGGTAAAATTGGCATTGCAAACGAAAAGCTAGGGCATTTGTAAGTCCCGTGTTATTATAGGCCTAATATATTTTTAGTTACTATATAAATGGCATTATCTTATACCTCCCAAGGTAGATTCACTTTTGATATAAACTCTAAAATGAACCTCTCAAAGGTGTTTACCAAAGCACTATGGCATATTCTGCAAACACGGCTTATAACGATTACTTTATGATGGGCTTTTAGCTTGGCCAAATCCTGGTAGTCTAAAGCGGTCGAGATCAGTTATTATGACCGTGTTTAGTTGGTCATAATTGTCTAAATATATCCATTGTTATCTAATGGCGCAATCACTTTGGAAGCTGCTTGTTTAAATACTGGACAAATACACAATTTGAAAAGTGCTGTTATTGTTTGCGCTTCATATGGTATTATTGTTAGATCGAGGTCATTGCGGTCATGATTCATATTGGACTTTACACATTCTGGTTTTCAATATTTCCCGCTACAATATGAACCAATTAACGCACGAAGACTGTTTTGAGCAGGCATTCCAAACGCACATTTATAAGTTGCCTAATGCCTATTTATCCTTATTAAGCGAAGTTCCGGATAAAGTTAGCGCAGTCTCCATCGGGAATGTGTATAGCGGACCCTTGAATCCTGAATGTTAGTTAAGTAGTCAACGCGGGGTTTTGGCGCTCGTATACGCTAAATAATAGTGTTTATAATGAAAGTATAGTCAACGCTAACTGAGGATTGCTACTAAGTGTGGGGGTTTTTTGTTAATAGGTCCCTCCATAGCACTTACCCAAGACTGGCATTTTCCCGTGGCCCGTGGCATTTTCTGTATACAGTTACATAGATAACCTGGGACCAATTAAGCTTACCTTCATCTGCTGAATTAAAACAGCCTTCGTAGTCTCCAAGAATATGTCAATCAAAGTGTCCAGATGCTTCAATACCAAGTACCACTCGACGTTGCTTTCGTTTAGTTCGATCTTTACATCTTCCCCTATGTCTATTAGTTTCTGCAAATACAGTTGCAGCGACTTTTTTATCTTGTCCCATCTCTCGGGAGTCTCCCCGGGCGGTTTGGTGTTCAGCGTGATGCTGTGAGCTAATACGAACTCATTGATGTTTGCAACCAGTAAACATATTTGTTCCTCGCTCGGTTTCGAATCTTCGATTTGTCTGTACAAACATTTAGAAAATCGACTATTACTTTACATAAAAGTGAAAGTTATGTAAATAATTGAGTAGTACAAATTGAACGATTGGTGATTACCTTATAAGCACGCTTCGATGGTTTAATAAGCGTTGGTTAGATAAAGAACAAGTTTATGAAGATGTGTTTAATTGTTTGGTTAATTTACATTTATACTGACCTAAGCACATCGCTGTACTGGTGAACGATGATCTGTCCATGGGTTTGGACTTTTTTGATGTTGCCCGTGATGGTGGCTGAGCTGGCGGATACCATGGCCTTCATTTCCGCGCCTATGGGTTTACTCTGCAGCGTCGTCATGCATTCACTCTCGTAAGACCCGACAAGGTCACAGAGCCAATGTTGCACGGGCTCCGGTTTCCTCTCGCAGAGACGTTCTAACTGGGTTTGGTCGATACTCCTCTCTCTATACAAGATCTCGTTCTGGTTATTCAGGACCACTCTGCTTAAAAATATTACATAAAATTACCAACGGATATTTACATTAATTAAGCTAGTATGTAACGGCGTCAGTCGTAACCGGTTTTGTGTAATCTTTGCGACTTACCTGCTGCGGTTGAAGTCGGTCATAAGATTGGTACGCGATTGGTTCTGTCTGCCGCTGTTCCTTCCATTCATGAACTCGTCAGGAGCTAGCATTTTCGGGGTCGACATGCACGCTAAATCTAATTGTACATCAGCAAAATTCAAATCTTCCTCTCGGAACTTTAATTTTTCACGTTTCGAATCGTGTGTTAAGTTTTTGTCGGTTTTTGTATGGGATTCGTATGGGGTTTTCTGTTTGTCTTGGAATTGAGGCGGTGGAGTTACTCTGCTGTTTTTAATGTCATTATTTTCGTGTTCAGGTTGGTCCTTCGATTTTAGATTTAGGTCGCTGTCTGTGGCCACAAGTCTTTCGTTATAATGAGGTATCAGCATTTCGACTTCGGGATAGCCGACTATTACCCAATTGTTGTGATCATTCGATCTCGGGAGGCCTAGCGGCGGAACTCTGCTACCGTCCATAGTTCCACCAGCGTGAGTGCCTACCACAGTTGTTTTTTCCTTTTTTGGAAATATCCTGAATAGTTCTTTTGTTCTGTCGGCTTTTGTTGCCATTCTTTGTTTCGCTTTGGGTCCCGCTTTCTTGTTTGGTTTTAAATGTAGGCTGTCCATTATGTTCTTTGCCAGCAATGTTTTGATAGGTTTTTCGATTTGTTTTTTACTGTACTGCACTTCGTCAGTGGGCGTGTCTTCATCAATGTATCCCAATGAGTGGTGGCCGTCTTGGATATCAAGAATTTGTTGGTCGAGTTTCTGAGCTTCGAAATTGAGTGATTTATTTAATCTATTCCTTTCGAACCTAGGTGTTGTAGTCAGAGGAGAAGAATTATTTTCATTGGAGATGCTTCGATGGTAGTTCGGTTTGGTTGATCTTTCCGTTGGTACATATGAAATATTAGAAATCGGCGTACGAACTCTTGGTTGATTGTTGACTGCGATTTCATTGTTGTCAGACAATTTTATATACTCTAAACTTTCATCAGACTTATTATTATTATTTGTTTCTAAGTCTTTAACTTTCGCTAATTTTATAACTTTGGCACTATCGTTCTCAGTGTTGGACACCAACGACTTCTTTAATGGATACTTTTTCGAAGGACTTACAGCAGATATGTTTTTAATCGGTACTTCTTTGGTATCATGTTTTATTGGACTCAATAATTCTTTGTTACTTATTTTATTTAAAGTTGCGTTATTGTTCTTCAGTACATTGCAAGACGAATTAGCTTTGTAGTTTTTGGATGAAATAGGTTTTGTGTTTTCTTTATTTAAGTTATCATTGTTGACTTTTTTGTGAGAGTTTTCATCTTCATTTTTATTTTCTTCTCCTGGACCCTTGTCCTTCAAAAGATCCATGTGTTCTTCATCTCTGTGTATCTCATAATATTTTTGTAGATCGTACGGAGTTTGAATAACGCTACTGCTACGAAGTCTTGGCTTGGGCGTAGGGACTTCATTGTTTGGTGATGTCCTTGTTGAGCTATCCACAACATCTACATTCTGAGGCGTGTTCACAAATTCCACATGTTTGATCGTAACGTTCTCATTGTTGTTAGAATCGCTACTACTAGAAGATTTATTATTTGACTCGTTTGTTTCCGGCGGCGCGTAGTACTGCGAAGGGGGCGGCGAACTATCTGAATCGGAAAATCCGGAATCTTGGCTTTTGTGACTGCCAGGGCTGCCATGCCTTAAAGGCCACTGATTTATCTGCGCATTGGGTTGTGCAATGTTATCAGCGCTATTGTTCCTTTGTTGCTCCGGCTGATTTGCTATCCAGTGGGGTAGCTGAGGTTCCCATTGTTGTTCCTCTCTCGTCCGATTATCTCGGTTCCACTCAGCAGGCTGAGCCACGGGACTGCCGAGATTCGGCGGTGAATCACCCCACCAGACCTTGCTGCGCGTACGTTGAAAATTTGACATTCTGAAAACAAAATAAGCGAGAGTTTAATGATCGATGACGTCATTGTCGGCTCATTATAAAGGATTTAGGTGTGTGGCCCAAGGTGCGTGACGGATAGTCACGTGGAACCAAATTATCTTCGATTCGAGTCTTTTTGTTTTCAAGTCATGGGAATGTGTTCATTTGATTACATACAAACAATCGAAGACAAAAACGGGTGTGTAAAGTTCAACGCGTGATGTACAATAGTATATTGCTTAAATTCAGATCTACCGCTGAGCAGATGTTAAAAACCGTTGCGAGTTCTATTGTGCTAAATGCAGGGGTGTCTACACTTTGACTGTGATTTGGTCTCCCCTTTGGTACCCCGTCGTATCTGGAATAGCCGCTTAAGCCACCAGTGAACAGGTAGGGAAAAAAATAGTACTTCGAAGGACCGGCTTGAAGCAAGTCAAGGAATTGTTAGGTTTTTTCTGCGCGATAGATTCTTTATAGTACGATATGGATGCGATTTATCGGTCCGCGGAAGTCGACTGCATTCTAGATATTGATTTGTAAACAGTTGGCTTTTTATCGTGCAAGTCCTCGATTTATAGTTTAAATTGCACAATATTTTATCAGTGGTTATGAAGGAATGTTGAATTATCGAATGTTATGTATGTTATAATTTGTTATTGTTATCGTTTTAAATATAGAATATCGCCGTTGCAAATATGAAATCCAATAAAAGTACCTCCAGAAAAAAAAATGGAATTTTTTTTTAGTACATACATAAGTACTAAAAAAATACTACAAAAAAAAATTTAAATACTAGAGACTCTATCTATATATATAAAAGAAAGTCGTGTTAGTTACACCGTTTATAACTCAAGAACGGCTGAACTGATTAGGGTGAAAACTGGTGGGGAGGTAGCTTAGAACCAGGAGAAGGACATAGGATACTTTTTATCACGTTCCCGTGGGACGTGACATAAAACGTGGTATAACAAAACGCAATTGATACGGAATAACAAAACGCAACTGACAGCTAAACGTAATATATTTTATGGTTAAAGTAGAATTTTGAAGTTGACGTGTTTAAAACAAACTGCGTGGCGGAACAAAGTTCGCCGGGTCCGCTAGTAATAGATAACTTTTACAATATAATATGAAAACATCATTTTGGCCCAAAATGTCACATAGGAGATTTTAAATTCGCAACGACGATATCATGTTTATGTTGAATATTGAAACTTTAAATGGTAAAATTGTTTTTGCATTGCAATATAATTAGATTAGTAGTTATAACGTAAAAAATCTTTCGCAGTGTTAATTTTTTTGTGATTCATTTAAAATAAATGTTTTTATAACAACTTCTTTGTTCAATGTTAATGATATTAAATCACAAAATTAAAATCTATAACCGGTTCCAAGAAAAACCACGCCCCCGAAAAGTACCAGTGAAATTAATATACTGATTGATTTCACTTTTGGGTTATCAACCGATTTAAAAAAAAAAAGGATGAAGTTCTCAATTGGACAGTAGAAATTTTTATGTCTCAAAACTATTTTTAGGTGAACCGATTTTTATGACTAATTGTTATTTGAAAGTTGTTGTTTTTTCATTTGGTCCAATTTGATTTTCGTGGTCTGATCTAAGTTATATCTTAAGTTATTTTTAATAAGCATATGTGGCGGTAGCTAGCACACAACACATTTGATATTTGACAGATGCCTAAATCTCACTTACGACATTTTCAAGATAAGCTTGCATATATACAAGTTCCGAACAACAACATTCGGACCGTCGGTTCACCGAGAAATATAGCCAGATCGGTGGAAAACCTTCCCTTTGTCGTATATAAAATACCTAGCCTAAGCAGGAGACTTCAAACATATTTGACTAACTTCGACTACCTTGACGATTTTTCCATTTTATATAATTTAAAATATTTAGAAGTTTTTATTATTAATATAAAAAAAAATATCTCTTCAACGAAATCTGTCAATACAGATTGCCGGCAGCAAATACATACCTCATTCCTACGTGCAATCAATAAAAAATTAAAAACAACAACTTTATTTTACATTTTGCCAAACAAATGACCTTCGTATCTATAACTTTTCCACAATTACTCAGGACTTTCCAAAGCGATTTAGTACCGAGGTATCCGAACCTAAGATCATGCGTAACACTAATTTCGAGGTAAATCGTATAGCTCTGAGCCCATAATTTAATAGTGTACGGATATTATACAGAAACACATAATAACAATAAGGTAGCAAGCACTAATAGCTTTGTTGATGTTATGAGTCAATCGTTTCTGAATCACTTAGTTAACGCGTCAAGTAAATCGTTCGCTTTAGTTTGAATGAAGAATATTGTAGTGATTCCAGGTCGAAAATAATAAAGATGAAAGCAAAAAAAAATTGAGATTAAACCGTAAAAATAGTTTTGAAAAAGATTGTGTTCTTCTTACGTTTGATATAATCAATTTACCTTGTTACTGGAACCAGGGACGTCTTAAACTAGGATGGGGCCCTTGGGCACACAAGAATTGGAGACCCTTTTGGAAAGTAAAAAACGCGAATTATAATAACATTTTTTTATTGAGTATGACCATTTATTATTGGTAATCAAATACAGTATGATATAATATGTCATTAATGATATTAGAATGCTGCTGGTTTTTTGGTTACGATTTCGATAACGGTTTCTTTCGGGATTTCTGTTGAGCAAAATCTTCTATTATAGGCATAATATATGCCTTGTAAATACCTTCTGATTACTTATTTGTGAAAAAAGTGTAATGTGCCCGACAAAAATGTTTTGAGAATAAACGTGTGAGAGAAATTGTCGGTCTTTCGGGGCCCCCTGAGAATGGGGGCCCTGGGCACGGGCCCCGTGTGCCCTTATGGTAAAGACGGTATTGACTGGAACCAATGGCTACTCAATTTATAGCATTTCATGTGCTATTTTTGGAGGGTAGAACAAAAACGTTCCTTACTCAAAGATACTGCAAAATGTACAACCTAATCCCTTTTGAAACCTCAGTTTTAGCTTTTTTTTTAATGCTTACTTAGATGCGTGGACGATCTCACAGCCCACCTGGTGTTAAGTGGTTACTGGCGTCCATAGACATCTACAACGTAAATGCGCTACCCATCTTGAGGTATAAGTTTTAAGGTCTCAAGTATAGTTACAACGGCTTCCCTACCCTTCAAACCGAAACGCATTACTGCTTCACGGCATAAATAGGGTGGTGCTCATAATAGCATGTATAAAATATCTATTTATTAAACTTAAATTAAAAATCACGCGCTTTATTTTTGCCTATTTAAGGCACTAATTCTTATTTAGCTTACTTTAGCTTACTACTACTAAGTACTAATGAAGTTAACGTTTCCTTTAGCCTGTTTTTCGCAAGTGACAAGTCCTCACTAATGACCGACTAATAGTTTTATTTCACAACCACTGTCAAGTGACCGGTTTAGATGCCTTTAAACATATAGGTACGCATGTACTTTTTACTTGAGTCATACAGAGACTAGTTTATAGTGATATACTAAGCTGTTATATTCATTAACATGTTAATCTCAAAATACTAGTGGTCCCGCAGTAGTCGAAATTCGACTATAATTAATTGGAATTGTAAGTTTATACACTATTGTGATCGTATTTTATACATATTTCGCCAAGACTACACTATAAAAAAATATTAACAAAGACAAACAATATTTAACCTATTCTCAATTTGACAACAGACGTCAAGAATAAAGGTTTGACAATAAATAAATAATATGCATGCGTGTGTGCGTCAAATACATGGTATGAGTGTGTGTAACGTTTTCTTTATTGATTCAATGTATCTTTTGTGCACTATTTTAAAAAATATTAGCATTGTGCACTTCTTCTCTATATTCTCTATAAGTGTGGAAAATTTCATACTCCTCCGTCCGCGCAATTTTCGTAAAAAGGGATACAAAGTTATTGCTTCACGTATTAATATATAGATACCAGTTTAAATGCGTTTTTCGAATGCAAAATATACAAATCCGTTTGTAACTACGAAAACTGTTAATTATTCGAAACATCAAAAGTAATCATCACTGCATAGTATAAAACAAAGTCGCTTTCTCTGTCCCTATATGATGCGGTTTTATTTAATAGATAGAGTGATTGAAGAGGAAGGTTTATATGTACAATAACATCCATTAAATAGTGGAGATATCAATAATAAATTACAGTTTACAGATAAAATAGTTTACATTTGATTTTTTTCAATATGCAAGAGCAAAATTATCGCTTTCAAATTCTCAAGTGATAATAAAACTCACTTTAATATATAATCATGAGAGAACGTCAATGACGAAGCTAAGATTTCGATACTTGGATTGGGTTTTTTTTGCCCTTGCAGCATACGGCCTGATGGTGAGTGGATAACGCCATGGACGTCAAAAATGACAGAGGCAGAGCCAAGCCCCTGCTTACCTCCAAGTACTCTTCTCAAGCCTCGTTTGATGGAGGACATTCCATAGCGCTCGAGAAGCATTGTAAAGTGGAGTTCATTTCACATCTGTGATATTCTCACATCGTCTTTTTGCATTAAAAGTGTACAATTTCCAAGAATATTCGAAATTGAGTTGATATGCGGAATCATTTGGTATCACCAGTATTTTTCTCATAAATACTGTCAAAAGAGCGTAGCTTAATTTTAGTTTTTTTTTTTAGTTTACTTAGATTTTGACTACTAATAGCAAAATTAATTCATAATTTTATCTTACTTTAAAAGACAGATAATGTAACTGGTTAAAACTAAAAAAAAATGTTGCATAGATAATTAATATAGAAATTTTACCTTCCAATAAAATTTGTATTATGTTTCCTAAGACGTCCGAAGTCCATTATGAGAGTACATCGTATGATTTCCACTGCAGGTCGCTAAATTTGACTACTTCCGTTTCCTAAGTCCCACCTACAGCGCCCTCTATAACGTCTGGAACCGAACCAACAAGCAAAGACAAGCCGCCATATTTGTCA